GACCCTGCTTGGGCAGGGGGTTGGACTGGGTGACCCACAGAGGTCCCTGCCAACCCCAAACGTTCTGTGATTCTGTGAGACCGTGATGGCACAGGTTGCCACGCGCTGGATTCACGTGCAGCAGTGCCTTCTGCTGAAACGCTGCCAACAGCGATGCAGAGCAGTGCAGAAGAGGCAAAGCTAACTGTGGTCTATGCGTTGACTCACCCAAATCCTACTTTCAGTTACATGGCTACTTTCAATTACATCATCTTTTTCATAATAATCTTTGCTCAAAGATTTGAACGAGCTGCTATAAAACTTGTTTAGTTTTGTGTAGTTGATTTTGTCACTTTGTTTTGTTTTTAGCACGTGACAAAGTGCTCTTTAGTAAGCAGGCAGGAAGGAAGGACCCCCGGGAAAGAAAGTGGCAGCAAAGACAGCAAAGATTTCCTGCGGCCACCACGTCAGGTGTATGTGCAAGCTCGGCAGCAAGCCCCCAACTTCCTGGGGTCTGAAGAGAAGCGCTGACTGCGAGAGACACAGCAAGACTACTTTCACCTTCGTGGTATTTCCTGTAAGTCCTGTTACATCATGACCACACTTCAGTACCTACTTAGCATGTTTTTGTCCTGTTCCCTGTAAACCCCTCACCCTGGGAATGCTCTCATTAAGGAGAATCCAGCTGCAGTCTGTACAGGGAGGGAATCTGATCTGCAAGGCATTCAGAGAAATAATCCCTTTGCAGTCTGGATCTTGCTCCCTTCCGACACTAGCTTAAGCCTGAGATAGAAGGGTACTGCAAGTCTGACTGTAAAACATCACTAAATATATGAATACCTGTGTTACTATTGGAATATAGAATTACATATTACTTTGTAACATAGAAAGTTACCCTACACAGAAATTCAAATTTTGGCTGCAGCCTCAGCCCATTAGTGAGGCATAAGGTCCGCTTCCAATAGGAGCCTCATCCCTTGCATCCTGGACCAAGCTTGCTTCAAATCCCTTCATTTTCAGACAATGATTCCCTCCCTACAGCACATAAGATGGTCCAGGGATATTTTTAAGCTACATACTACACTCCTGTGGAAAAGTAGCCGTATAATTCTAACACCAGTGCTTCCCAGCCTCGCTGAAATACGTCCTGGACCCTTCTCTAAAACCCATCGAGCGCCCACTGAGGCTCTCCTGGCTTTGCTCCCTGCATTGCAACGCACTTGTTGCAGACTCCACAGCACTGCGTGCAGAAGAGCCCTGTGCTTTGTGGTTAGCCCTCGGAGCCTGGTCGCAGCAGCAGAACGCACTGGACAGCAGGGACGGGGATGCCTCGTACGAGGGAGTCACCGCTGCTGGGCTGGAGAGAGAAACGTGTTTGCTCATCATGCAAGAATTTTTTAATTGTTTTTCACATTTGAATCTTGAACTGTCTTGTGATTTGCAAAACTTTAGAATTATGTTAATTTACATTTTGATAATGGTAAAGCATTTCATTTCACATTTGGGCTTTTAATTTTAAAACTAAATTAGCATTTTAAAAAGTCTGAACCATTGTCTTTTTAAAAATGAAAATAAGATATTCTGACAGTTCCCAAACAGGAAAATTCAAAGGAAATAAACAAACCAGCAAAATATTACTTTTGTTCCCTGGAAGAAAGCTTTCCATTTCAATAAATTGTAATTTTTCCACAGGAAAAGCATCCCTGGCCGACGCAGCTGCACGTTGCACCGAGTACTTCCACGTGTGACGTGTTCCCTTGGTGTCTGCAGTTGTTTGGAAGACAGAGGCTACTCGTTCTGGAGTCTAAAACTCAACCTGGAAAGAAAGAGCCAGGACGTCACTCTGGTAGTAGGATGTGAAGGATTCTGGTCCAGCGTGTGTCTACCCCACTGTGTATTTCTTCTGCTGGCTGCTTTCTGAGAGGAGTTGGAGGTCAGTATGGGAATGCTGTGTCAGAACGGTCCTCGGCACAAGCGCTCTTCTCTCGTCCAAGACACTCTCTGTTCCAAACACTGAGTCTAATCCTCAGGGAAGTGGCTCTGTAGCGTTTCAGGAAACTAAAACTGAGAGAAAGAGCAACACTCTGAGATCTGCAGGTCCGTGGGACTTTTTGTCTGCTGTCCCACCACCCAGTAAGACAGGGGATTTAGTTGGAGTCTGATATATATTGAACTAGCTGGGGAGGGAAGAGCACCCTTCGTGGACTGTTTATATAAGAATTGCTATGCCCAGAATAACTCAAAAAGGTGTTTCTTACCCATAAAAATAGGTGGGGACCATGATCCACTTCCACTCTAGATACTGGGAAATGGTATTTCATTCAGTAACTACATACATTTCTATGGGACATGATTTTCTGGAGAGGGAAGTGAGGAGACAAGAATGTGCCCTGCTGTCCTGCTTTTGGTTAAAACAGAACCAGTTATCTTTCAGTGAATTTTCCTTTCAGCTAAGTTGTTCCAAGCAGCTGCATTTTTCTGAAGTTGGCTGCATATTTTTCAGACAGTGACTGCCCTCCAGAGCTGATAACCCCTGATGTTTATGGTTCTGCTGAGCTAACAGGAGGAGTGGAATGCAGAAAGACCCATGCTTATAATTATTTCTATAGCAGACAATGTCATTGATAGATCTCTTATGTTTCACAAGTGAGGGGTCGTAAGGGTTGCACTTGCAGGGAGGAGCGGACAGAACAGGCGACCTGGGATTCCAGGATACCCAGCGTGGTGTTGTGTGCCATACGTGTCAGATCTCACTTTAGAGCTGGGGGATCATGAGGGTCTCGCTTTCTTTGTCCATGCCCAGCTTCTGAAGAGGACCCTGCTCCTTGTCCTGCCTGCGATCCTGACCGGATTCCGATCAGTGCATTCCTGAATCCGTGGTATTGCCACTCTACATGGTGACAGCTGCTCTTCAGGAACTGGGAGAGCCTCACCGGAGGAGCAGCAGAAGGTTATCAGTGAGATAAATCGGCCTATGTCAGTGGAGGAAAAGAGCGTTGGAATCAATAGGCATTTTCCTACTGTCTACTGTCAGTTTTGCATCAGGCTTTATAATCTTAACCGAGAGAGTTTGCTCAGAGCAGGGCGCCCTGCGGGGTTAGCAGAATGTCTCGGTAATGCAGCAGTGCAAAGTGAGTCTTCCTAGGCAAAGTTATGGCAGTTAGGCTGAAGGCAGTTGCAAAAAAACCATAAAGTCTAAATATCCAAGAGTTACAAAAGCTTTAGGACAGCTACTGCTGTAGTAAGCTGCCTCAGAGAAAAAGTAAACCAAGTGTGGAAGCAGATAGCTGCAGCGGTCAGCGCTTTGTGCTGCCTGAACAGCTACCTGGAATCGATGCCCTTGCACATATCTTGCAGCTGAAACGCAGCCTTGGACTTCTCAGTCGTGGACCGTGGAAGCCCACGGGGGCAACGTGCTTTGAGAACACGCTGAGAGTGGCAGGCATTAGGAACGCATCGAGGCGGTGACGGCTAGCACAGTCTGTGGCATTAATTTCACCGTTTCCTTCCTGGTGCTTCTGTTTTCTTTCAGCTAGTGGGATGGAAGCGGTGGCAGAGGACTACGATACAAGAGATATCTTGAGGCCGTTGGTGTTCCGTCTCCATGAGAATGTCCCTGCAATAGTCCGTGAGGTTTTGCTGGAACGCGGCTGGACTGAGTTTGACAAGAAGGGGCAAGATGACACAGACTGGAACCTGTACTGGCGGAACTCACCTTTCCGCATGGCAGACCACCACAGCATTAAACCGTGGCAGAGGCTCAACCACTACCCAGAAGCTGTCCGCATCACCAGAAAAGACTACTTGGCAAGGCATCTGAAACGTATGAAAGGAGCGTATGGATCAGCCCTGTATGAATTTAGTCCAGTGGCATTCATCATGCCCAATGACTACATGAAATTCATAGCAGAATACAGCAAGGAGAGAGAGTCAGTGGGCAGAAGACCTAGCTACTGGATTTGCAAGCCTGTGGATCTCTCCCGTGGAAGGGGCATACTCATTTTCCAAGACATTAAAGACTTGGTGTATGACTGCGCAGTCATTGTGCAGAAGTACATTAGCAACCCCTTGCTCATTGCCGGGTATAAACTGGATCTGCGCCTTTACGTGTGTGTCACCAGCTTCCGCCCGCTCACCGTCTACACTTACGAAGAAGGGCTGGTGAGGTTTGCCACTGAAAAGTTTGACCTCGGTTCTCTGGACGATGTCTACGCCCACCTAACAAACACCAGCATCAACAAATATGGGGCTTCATATAAAAAATATAAAGAAGGGATTGGCTGTGGCTGCAAATGGACATTCAGCAAATTCCGTTCTTACCTGCGAATATTTGGGGTTGACGACGTGGTCCTCTGGCAGAAGATCAATAACATAGTGATTCTCACCCTGCTTGCTGTAACCCCCTTACCGGTGGCTTCCAACTGCTTTGAGCTCTTCGGCTTTGACATCCTGATTGATGACAAATTCAAGCCGTGGCTTTTAGAAGTCAACTACAACCCGGCCTTGTGTTTAGACTGTTCCATCGACGACGCTGTGAAGAGAAAGCTCCTCCACGATGTTGTCGAGCTGCTGAACTACAAGCAGGTTGATGCTTTCAGGCAAAACCGAGTGGCTGGGGCAGAGGCTGGCAGGGGGCGGGTGCCCTGGCGCGCAGCTGCCGAGAGTGCCAGCGGCCTGCTCCCTCGCCAAAAAGTGGCGAAATGCCCTTCTGCCTCTTCTGTGCTACCTGCCCTGCGGGCGGCCAGAGGATCAGGCCGGAAGGCGGCTAGCCTGGCCACGAAAACGGCCGCAGCGCATCCGAGAAAAACGCTGACTTCCCAGCTGCGGGAAGGGATGAACATGCCAAAAACACCCTCCGGAGGAAAAGCTGAAGCTGAAAATAAACAGCTCCCGGGAGCTGGGCATTCTCCACGCCAGCCTGCCCAGCTCAGCCGCTGGTTACCTACGCCTGACTTCTGCAACGACAAAACCATGCGCCCCTATTTCCTCTCCGATAAAGACCAGAGGCCTGTCCCCCGTGTAGGAGATTTTGTCCTTATTTTTCCCTTCAATGAAGCTGCGCTGCAAGCTTCCAGGGATGGGACAGACGTGAAGAGCATCATAAAGGAAATAAGCAAATCGGTGAGCAAACAGTTGCCATCAAAGCAGAACACAAAGAAAAGGGTAGGCTGTCTAACTGCTGTGTAACTTCAGTAACTTCAGTTACTGTGTAACTGCTGTGTTAGGTTATAGAGACATATCATTTAAGTCTCACCCAAGGCATCCCAAGGGGGGGAGAAGCGAGGCTCAGCCCGTTGGCCGGTCCCGGCTGTCGGAGGCACTCTGAGGTGGAGTTTCCCTTGACTTGCTCACGGTGTTCCCTTCTTTTCCTCGACTGTAGTCATACATAGCTTTTATCTTGATTGGTGTAAAATTCTCTCGCTTCACATTTAAAGGTATAGTTTACGAAAAATCGAGAGCGCAGACTCGAAGAGGGGTGGTCGCACCTCGGAGGTGGGGAGCCTTCAGGATGGAGGTGTGTTTTGGTATTATAATGATATTAAAACGAGCAAAGTTCACGAGAGGATAGCACTCTGGCAAGGTTTCGAAAACCTGTTGGCTCCGGGGGCCAGCTGAGCTGCTGATCAGTTCTAGAGAACCATCTCTTCCCGCTTTATCATCACGGAGCAGGGCCACGGAGTCTCCACTCCATTCCATCCTCTATGGTACATGGCAGGGAGTTGCTGTGTTAGTGGATTCCTCGCCTGCCTGCTGCAGCTGTGTCCCATTCTCAGAGCTCCTTTGGATTTCATGCTTTCCCTCAATGGTGAACACTGCTACGATTTTCATATAAACCTTAATTTTCAGATGTAAAACCTTAATTTTACTAATAATTCCACACCATGTATTCCGGGGTGCCGCACAGCATCCTGGTCCGGCCCCTTACTCGTTTGGCCAGGCCGAAATCTGCCACTTTGATGTAGCCTTGCTGGTCAATGAGCAGGTTCTCGGGCTTCAGGTCGCGGTAGATGATGTCCATCGTGTGCAGGTACTCCAAGGCCAGTACGATTTGGCCAGCGTAGAAGCGGGCGTGGGGCTGTTTGAAGCTCCTGCTGCCGTGGAGGTGGGAGAACAGCTGCCCCCCTGCGATGTGCTCCATCACCAAGTACAGGTTGGAGTTGTCAGGGACATCCTGGGGAGGGTGGGGACCACCCTGGGGACCATGGTGGCAGTGATGGGGACCAATCTTGAAGGACTGCTCAAGGTGGACGAGGAAGGGGAAGGAAACAGCCTGCAGGATCCGCTTCTCGTTCAGCGTGTGCTCCATCAGCTTCATCTTCACCACCTGCGAGGACACGCCGTCACCCTCGGTGACATCCGATGTCACCCCTCCCTTCCTGGGGACAGCCCATCCCACCAGGCTGGGGACACCGGCGTGTGCCCCCCATCAACGCTGGGGACACTGGGCTCTCCCCAGGACTGAGGACACTGAGGTCCCACCACGTTGACGACACCAAGCTCCCCTCCTGCCACCGAGGGTACCGGGGTCCCCCCCGCTTTGGGGACGCTGAGGTGCCCCCACAACCAGTGCCACCAGTGTCCCTGGCACCAGCATCCCCCCGTGTTGGGGACATCAAGGTCCCCTCAAGATCCATGACATCCAACATGTGTGCCCCCGCTCTGGGGTCACCACAGTCCCCCCAGACCCAGTGACACCAACGACCCCCATGCTGGGGACACCCACCAAGGTCCCCTCAAGACCAGTAACATCAACATGAGTCCCCCCCCACCTTGGGGACACCAAAGTCCCACCAGATTGGGGGACACCAGTCTCCCCCCACCCTGTGGACATCACAGTCCCCCCAGATTTGACGACACCAACGTCCCCCCATGTTGGGGACACCAAAGTCACCTCAAGACCCATGACATCAACATCTGTGCCTTCATTCTGGGGACACCAATGTACCCTCGAGATCAACGACACCCAACATGTGCCCCCCCCCCACCTTGGGGACACCAGTCCCCCCACATCTGACAACACCAATGTCCCCCCGCGCTGGGGACACCACAGTCTCCCCACACCTGATGACACCAATGCCCCCCAGGTCCCTCTCCACAGAGCTGCTCTCCAGCAGGTCCACCCCAAGCCTGTACTGATGCGTGGGAAGGAGGCAGATGTACGCTGAAATTGTGTTAGATAAACAATACACAATTTAAAAGCTGTAATTTAACAGTTACTGAGAGAGCTTATTTTTTTAGAAGTGCTGATTTTTAAAAATAATTCTTGCAATACTAAAGTAATCCCGGAATAAAAATGGAGAATTGCATTTCTCAAAACATCCTCAGAAATGCCAGTCTCTGTTTATTACTTTCTCAGCGATGTTTGCTTCTTTTCTGTTCCTAACTAGGGGGCCTTTATGACTTGAAAAACTGGTCACATCACATCAGGGAGCATTCAATATGCACTCAGTTTACAAAGGTGCAGGTAATATAAATGGCACAAAACTATCATGTTTTTGAAGAATCCAGTGAGCTTTCCCACATTCATTTCCAGAAATGAATTTTGTATGAAACAACAGTATGAAATAACTTTCATTTTATGACCAGTAGATTTCACAGAATCACAGAATGTTATGGGTTGGAAGGGACCTCTGGGGATCACAGAATCACAGAATCACAGAATAGTAGGGGTTGGAAGGGACCTCTGTGGGTCATCTAGTCCAACCCTCCTGCCGAAGCAGGCTCAGTCACCTACAGTAGGCTGTGGAGGACCTTGTCCAGGCGGGGTTTGAATATCTCCAGAGAAGGAGACTCCACCTTTTGGAAAGTAATTTTTAAAAAATCCATATACTGCTCCAGTGTTTTGTTTCAGATAAACTCTTGAAATAATCAGGCTTCCCAAGGTAACAGAGAAATTTGTTATCAGAGGGCAGAATATAAACTGCAGGTATCACGTTCAGAAGACTGGCTCGAACCTCCCTCTTGCAGATTCTGCGTTAGCCACCTGATGGGCACAGTGGTTAGGTAGCTTGGTGTTGCTTGCAGTAAAACTTTGGTGATCAGCTGTGCGTGGAAAAATGCTAACGCTGAACTGAAGCGTTTGAGGTGGTCCAAATACTGCCCTTCCCTCGTACGTCTCTGCTGCCCTCAGCTGTCGGAATGGAAGCGGCTCTGTTCAGCGGTCACAGCAGACTCGAAATTTGAATCAAAATTGTAGCCAAACACTGGGTGTAGCATGCTGCTGCTAGTGCCAGAAAACCTGTGGAGAGATGAGAAGTGGGGATTCCCAGCTGTGTTCCGTCTCCCTGAAGGGTTCATAAAGATTTGTTCACTATAAACCCTATAGGACAAAAAAGCGTAGTAAATCATAGAATCACAGAATGGTTTGGGTGGGAAGACACCCAAAAGATCATCTGGTTCCAACTCCCCTGCTGTGGGCAGGGACATCTTCCACCAGCCCAGGCTGCTCAAAGCCCTGTCCAGCCTGGCCTTGAACACTTCCATCCCCAACTTGTCTGGGCAACCTGTGCCAGCACATCATCACCCTCATAGTAAAGAATTTCTTACTTATAACTAACCCAAATCTAAAGTAGGTGTGGGCATTGCTGTAGTTCAGGTATGTATGCAGCCACACCTAATTTGGGTTACGTGTGTTGCTACAGCTATGGACCATAGCTGGTAGAGCCACTGCTGCTGCTGGTTCACCAGTGCGAGTGGAAGGTGGAGGAGACAGAATCACAGAATCACAGAATGGTAGGGGTTGGAAGGGACCTCTGTGGGTCATCTAGTTCAACCCTCCTGCCAAAGCAGGGTCACCTACAATAGGCTGTAGAGGACCTTGTCCAAGCGGGTCATGAATATCTCCAGAGAAGGAGACTCCACAGCCTCCCTGGGCAGCCTGTTCCAGTGCTCCGTCACCCTCAGAGGGAAGAAGTTCTTCCTCATGTTCAGATGGAACTTCCTGTGCTTCAGTTTGTGCCCATTGCCCCTTGTCCTGTCGCTGGGCACCACTGCTTGGCCCCATCCTCCTGACACCCACCGTGCAGATATTTGTAAGTATGTTAGGTCCCCTCGCAGCCTTCTCCAGGCTGAACAAGCCCAGCTCCTTCAGCCTCACCTGGTAGGGGAGATGCTCCAGTCCCGTCACCATCCTGGCAGCCCTCGGGGTGTGCGAGTCGGCCTGTGACATGTAGCGTGGCACGTGTCACAACCGGGCTGTGGAGGACTCCCAGTTACACCTGGCGGAGCTTGGCGTTGATGTAGGTGTGTTTCTGTCCCCTCCTTTCCGCGCGCGCACACGCGTGTCAGCAAGGTGGATGCCTACGTCAGCGAGGGGTGTGCGTACGTCAGCGCGGGGTTTGCACACGCACAGCAGCAAGGCGGATGCGTGCATCAGCAAGGGGTTTGCACACACGCATCGCTGCGTGCACGGTTTTAGAGAGCGACCTGCGCATTTCCCCCATGTGTTACACCGGTGCAGGACCGATTCCAGAATCAGAATGTTCCTGCAAGTACAGTCGAGAGTGCTTAATGAAGCAAGGAACAAGCAGCATGCAAACAGAATTGTTGCTTATTAAATTCACAATTAGAAGGGATTATATACACAGGTTATTGAACAGCAATTCAAGGCTAAAAGCTGCAAACAAAGCCTGTTTTCTGCATTACTATAGAAACAAAGAGAATGTCAGCATATTAACCAGAGAACAGGGGCCTTTTGTTAAAAGGAATTCCTAGGAACAAAAATAGTGGTGCTTTAGAAGACATAAGTATCACATCTAGTTTTGCAGCCAAACTGAAAACATTAATCACAGTCACTTATTTCATTACGCTTAACTGAGAAAAAAAATCAACACAAATTTCTTTTAGGCAGCATAAGGCAGCACTGAAGTGAAATTCTCAGTGAAACACGTGGAAAAGAATAGTATCTTGGATTTCTTTTAGTTAGAGTTTCCTTTTACAAAACACATAAAGTATACTAAATATTTCACTAGTGAAAGCAGAGGTTTATAAGTTGTTCCTTTGTTGTACAGGAGTAAAGGAAAAACAATGCAATTTTATTATCCCACCAGCCGACATCAAACTGCATGGATGTTCACAGCATCATAATTAAATTCATAAAGTGAAGCATCTGTATGATCAATATTAGCAACACTTCTTGCTCTATTCAATCTGTTTCTTCCAAAGATGCACTGGGATTTGAGTGGTGATTTGTTGATAGTCTGACCCGCTGGAAACTGAAGAGAAGAAAGAGCAATTCCATCATCTTGCAATTATTTTGAGCTTAGAAAAATAAGAGTTTTCTTATTAGATAAGTCTGAGCAGCATGCCATGAAGGTGTGTTTGTTGCTAGAGGAATTGGAGGGGCAGAAGGAGGTAATTGGTCTGCTCAGTCAATGGGCAGGTGGTGAGCTGAGCTCTACAGGGGAAATGCTTCAGCGCTTTGGAAGGACTCAAGACAGGTGATGGACAGGCAGTCTACGGGGAGGGCAGCTGAAAGCAGCATCTGATAAATTATTAATCCCCCTAGGTATCAAGTGCAATCCAAAGAGCCTTAAAGCTGGAGAGATGCACTGACCAGAAATATGTTTGCACGACTGGAAGAGTAAAGGCTGTAGTGGGAGAGGTTAATTCAAAAACAAAGCAACACGGAGGAGGTCTGATAAAAGACTGCTGGAGGAAGAAGAAAGGGCTGTTTCATCTGGAATAGTGACCAGGGTGGAATGAACATTGCATTTGGTCTTCAAACGCAGAAGACAGAGTTCTTGGATTACGATTGTATGATTATTGGATAATATAGGTTGGACGGGGCGTTCAGAGCTGTGACTGTTCACTCAACTCCTGCTCAGCTTTTGGTCTAATGTACAGCTCATAGTAACGTCTGGCACTTGCTGGGGTCTTCTGCTCCAAAGAACCCAACCAAACTGAAAACATTAATCACTTCCACAATTTTGGTGGTGGTTAACTGAGAGAAAAATAACATTTAGATTTGTTTTAGTCAGGATAAGGCAACACTGAACTGAAATTCAAAAAAGTGTGTAGATTTGATGTTCTCACACCATGCTCCTTCGTCGTAGTCACTTTTGTAACTAACTAGCAGAAAAACACGTGAAAGTGCGGTCAGTACCATGAAACAAACACTTTGATGAGAAGTACTATGGGCATTTATTGAAGTGTTGCATACACAAAGAGGGCATGACCACATCTCCTTCAGGCCTTGCTCAAAAGACACTTCATTCGCGTAAGGGTATTCCAGAGAGCACTGAGCCAAAGTTGAGTTTCAGCCCTACACATCCATCCCTTCGTTTTCACAAGGCTTAAAACCTTCCGAACAGTTCTGACCTGCCAGGAAAACGGGTGGAGCCACTTACGGACAGCGCAGCCCTTTGAGGGGAGGAATCACTGCTCATCTCGGATGATGTTACCTTCTTCGTCTTTGATTCGAGCTGGGCTGGTGGTGTGCTTGGTTTCCTTCCTGCCGTTGCGGTACACGGTTTTTACAGTGCCATCAGGGTACTCCCACCTCTTGAACTGCACAGTCTGAACCTCCTTTTGGCCATTACTGAATACCACTATTTTATCTCCATTCCTGAAAGGAATAGCAGTGAAGGAAGTGATGAGAAGGCACTATCTGTTGTTAACTCCCTGAGCTGTCTAATGGGACATGATGAAAGTGGAGAAGAACGTCAAGCAACAACTTTCTCAGGTTATAATGCACCTCAGAATTTACACGGGGTGGCATTAGAGAGCTGATCTCACAATAAGATTTCAATAGGGTGGTACTTCAGTACCTAATAAAATCCTAATACCTAATGGATGGTAGGGTGTGCATTTTACATGACTCCTTCACGCAGGGATCTCCAGGCATTCTGCAAACAGGAAAGCTGTCTTGCAAGAGGATCCTGCCGAAGCCCAGAAGAGGCATGTGTAAGAAAGCCCTGGTGTTAATTTTCCTCTTTTTACATGGAGGAATAAAGAGATAATACAAGAAATGCCTTGCCCAAGATCAGAAAGGGAGCCAAAAAGCTGGGAATAGAGCTCAGGAGTCCTCATCCTGAGTCCTTTAGTACCCACGTTGTTAACACAGGCAACTGGTGATCTCCCAGCAACCCTGGCCAGTGTAAAGTTACGTGGAAGTAAATGAGGAATATTTCACAGTCGCTTTGCCAGGGATAAACTTATCATCCAAGGTGGAAGTGAACAATTTTCAGTGCCTCGTTGTAGCAAAACCCTCGTTATCTTACAAATCCTTTCTCCTTTCATCTGGAAATTTCCCAGCCATGCGGAATCCAACCACAGTTTTAAATGTCAGTATCGTTGTACCCGTGTCTAATATCTGGTTCCTGTCACCAACACGAGACTTACTTTTCTACTTTTACTACTGTACCATCTGGGAAAAAAGTTTCCTTGGTTCCGTCACTATGCAGGCATTTCACTGTGTGGCCTGGGAACACAATTTCTCGTGTGCTGTCAGGATAATGTTTCTCTGTGGAAAAGAAGATGTAAAAAGTCTGTCCAGTGGTCTTTCATGTTGATTTACACAGAGCTAGATCAGATTTTTTTTGGACGTTGTAGTGAGGGTGGAAATGATATCCAGCATAGTGCTAAAGAAATTAAAGAATCGAATAATCAGATAATCAAATTTAGAAGAGATGCATTTACATCACGTGAGTATCTTTGTTTTGTAGGAGGAAACTGAGCAGTACGGTGATGGAACATACTGGAAATGAAATCCACAGGCAATGCAAAACGAGAAGAAAATACCCAATCTGCCGGAGTCAGAATCAGATAACACTTTCATAATAGAAACCTTCCTGCACATATAGTTCACATCTCTGAGCTCTCGCATACCTATCTGATTATTAGGGAACTGCAGCACCTCCAGGCCGTTTGGATAAGCAGTGTGAGTTGTCTGTGCATCTGCATAATAATAAATCTGGAAGGAGAGCGAAGAGTTTGCAGCATGTTGACAGTATTTGCATAAGCAAATTCAACCATAACAATGTGCTTAAAAGTAAGCCATCTTAAAAAAAGTCATTTCAAGGTCATTTTCTGTATCTTTCCTCCATAAAAATAGGTATGTTTGCATTGCTGTTCCTTCCTCTCATTCACCCCCCTCCTCATGGCTGTGTCTAAATGATGGTACTTTCATCTTTCGTAGCACACAAAAGAACAGTGCATGCATGAGAGTCATCTTCCCACCTCTTCACTTTGGCTCCCATCCATGCACTATTCATTTAAAATAGTCCCACTGCTGCCAAGGTCTCATTTATTTCCACTCTAGCTCAAATTATTATTAACTATTTATATTTACATAGTGCCAAGAGGGAAGAACCCCCTGTGCTACCTACCCTACAAATGTATAAAACCCAGTCCTTGCTTCAGATGGCTGCCCCTGCCCTTTGCCTGCTTTCAGTCGCCTTTAATCTGCTTGGCCAACTACCCATCTGTTCCTTCTTTGACTGTTACCTTCATCTCTTTCCATTTTTGTCCTTGTAGATGGAGCAGTTTCACCACTCCGGGTTGTTAAACCAACTCCCTTCCTCATCAGTTTCTCCCAGAAATGATAGATCAAGATAAATGATAGGACCTTGTTGGAAAATTGCTTAATCGTTTTATTTCCCTTAAAGAAAAAACAGAAGGTACACACCACTCTCTGATCTGGCATGATCTTCTTTACATCTCCATTGAAAAAGCTAATCGTCGTCATCCTTTTGTCAGTGCTGATCTCTTTTTTAGTACCGTTGCGGAAAGTGATGATTCGGCGTCCATCAGTGAGCACCTCTTCTACCTTCAAACACAGAGAGCATCTGATGTAAATGGAGTCAAGGCAATGAGTAACACTGCACTGCTTTCCAGTTAAACTGGAGCTTGAAGTAAGTCACGCTATGCCTTTGTGTTTCGAAAACTCTCTCTGCAGCACGTGTACGTGACTTTTGCCTTATTTGCCTGTAAAAGAGGCCGTAAGCAATTTTCTTTTCACAAAATGAACATACTTGTAGTGCTCGGCCCAAGTTCCCACCCCACCACCTTGTTTTTCTGTTAAGCCAGGTGAGGCACACAGCCTGTGGCAAGGCAGAAGCCCTGCAGGTTTTTCCGTGACCAACTGCAGTGAGTTACTGTCTCTACTCATTTCGTATACGCTGGTACACGTTCCACACAAGTCACTCAGGAGACCCTGGTTCTGCATTGTGTGAACCAAAATGATCAAGCTTGATGTGTTAACACAGACTTCTGACATATTTTGGCAACCATTTGATTCCAGTTGCAGTAATGTAACCCTGTATGGACACTCAGTACTACAGAGTCAAATGTGGCTGCATGTAGAGAGCTGCAAAATTGCCCAAGGCTTCGTAACAACAGTGGGCAATAATGTTTTCAGTGTGCTCTTCTACAAACAATACGTTGGTCAAAAAAGACTTCGTGCCTAGCATAGCCTCTGGTTAATCAATTTTCCTGGGATTACTGCGGCAGCTGGTTCTGTTACAGCATATGTCACATCCCATAACATAATTCATTTGGTGAAGTCCAAGGGAAAAGACAACCAGAAGATCCACTATAGCTCTGCCATATGGTTCCAATACTGTCAGGCTCGCTACAAAAAGGGAATACCTCCCAATCACAAAAAAAAAAAAAACCACCCAAACCCAAAAGAAAAAAAAAAGAATAAGCATGCTTGGGGGAAGAGAAATGTGGTGTTTCCCCAAAAAGGCATTGTAATGATTACCAAGGGCAAGATTTTAGTTTTTAGAAATGACTTTATTTAAACATTACTAGTGAGTAATGGAAAGATGTTCTTACACCTACCTGTGACAAAAGGCATTGCTACAAGAAGTCCACATAGTTTAAAAGAGAGTTAATATCTCTTTATAAAGGCATCAGTCCCCATTTTGACCTGTCTCTCTAGTTGCACAACAAAGTCCAACCCACCAATCAAGATTATGAATAAAATCCAGTGGTAAAAATGTCAGAGTGAACCTTTTTCACATTTATTTTTCTCGTGAGGATGAAAACAACATATATTGTCTTTTCTACTTCTGCAGGAGGGAACTGTGATCGGTAGAAGCTTTCACAGAGCCCATCTTGGCATTAGCTATTAAAGAATTGGCAGCTCAGAACAGCATTCCCCGAACAACTGTTACATTGCAAAAGGCATTTCTATGACTGCTCACGGTTTCATTAATCAACACCTTCATGGGCGGTGTGAGAAGAGAAGCCCAGAACTGAACAGACACAGAAATTGAATTAGTGTCTTAGCTTTATCTAGCAAAAAAACATATCCAGAATTGACAACTCGGTCAACACCGAGAGAATGTTTGAACAGGATAAGCCTGCTTGGAGCAGTGTAACTGAGGAGAGATCGGGGCTGAGTTCAGATCTGGCCTAGATGAGCAGTGACAGTGTTGGAAGGAGTGCTTGGCTGTCAGCAGTGAAACGAGCTCCAGCTCCCTTGGTCACCTTGCTGACAGCCTTTCCCAAGAGCAATGCACAAAACTTTCACTGCATAGGCTCGTCTACCGAATCAGCCTTTCAAGATGGTTCCTGAGGTGCAGGAAAGGTGGCGTGGCCACTCAGGAATGAATTACCCAGTTCTGTGGCAAGGAGTGCAAGGACACAATGGGAAGCCAGCAGGAACTGGCCACTCATCCTCTCCTGGAAGACAAGGACTTCCAGGGAAGGGATGAAACCAGCTGCCAAGGTGAGCTGTGGCCTCAGGACCAGGGGCAGCTGGAAGCCATCTCTAGATGCAGTGGGGGAATCGCTGGGGATTTTGACAGGTGCCTTGGGCAAACTGCCTAGAAGCCAACTCCACTGATGCTACTCCAGGTGTAGCCAGCTGTCTATAACGAAAGACTTCTCCCACAAGTGGTGTCCAGCTGGCAGAGCTCACTGACATTAGATTCACTTCCAAGGAAAGAGAAGAATGGCCTTTAATCTTGCACTACAAAACACCATCACTACCCCACCTGCACATTTTTGTTTCTAGTGGTGACCGTATCGTTCGTCCCAGCCATCAAATGGAGTAGCTGAAACAAAAAGGACTTGGTGAAAGTCATAGAGCAGATCCATGTGGGAGATGAGAAAATAGTTTGGTTATTTGATTTCCAGCCCATCAGCTATGCATATTTCCTACCATTCCTGGTGTGAACTTCACACTTCTGCTCTCCATTAAAGAGCAAACAATTGGAGACATAATTGTCTATGGCTACTTGAAGCAGTGATTCCCATCTATACAGCAGTCCCGTTGATGATGTCTTCAAGTATTTTTCACCCTATTTTATCTCACCTTTCCATCAAAGTATTCTATTTTTTCCTGCACCTCTTCCTCACTTTTTCTTCTTTCTTGATGTAACATTGACCTTCTAGATAATATTGATTTTGGAGGCTACATTATGAAAAGATCACAGTCAGTGTTATACAAACAGAAATGTTTTTAAAATATTTTCATTAATTTTAATCAGCTGTGCAAAACCCATAATTACTTTCACACACATAGAGGAAAACTGCCATTCTTTCTGGTATTGCCTTGCATTTGTAACGAATTTTGATCTTCTAGTCATAACTAGAAATGTTGCACATTAACTCCAGCTAACTTCAGTTTGAAAAGCAAAAGATAGCAGAGAGAAAGTCCAAAAATGATGTGACGAGAGCATTCTGGCAAAACTGCACTATAGGAAGTGGAGAGAATAAACACAAGAACAAAGAACAGAACTATCTCTGAATTTATATTTATATTTTTAAATATATATATATTTATATAATGGGTTACTGATTTGCAAAGAGAGGTACCTGTGTCAGCTAGAACCACCCTTCCAAAGCAAATTGCACGGTTCTTAGCTGTAGGCAATGCTAACTATGTAACTGGGGGCTATTCAGGATGTTCCACATCCAATTTACCATCACAATGAGTGCTCTTTGCACTGTCTGGCAGCACAAAGGAGCCTTAAGTTGGTTGACATCTGGCACATAGCATCCACAACAGTTACCAACTAACGTTAATTACGGTTTGAAGATGCGGTGTGTCTTGAATTGTGGGAGCCATAGGAACAGGGGTTACTGCTCCAGTAAAAAGCCCTCAACACAGTGCCTGCAGTTGCCAGATCCATCCCTAAAGCTCTGCATCCGCTGCATAGCAGAGGAAATGGGAATGGAAGATTTTCTTTTTCTTAGCGTGTTTTATTTCAGTTCACAAATGGAAAGAAGGCAGCTGCTGATCATATGTGAGCCAGAATCAGAAGCTGCTCAAACCTTCGCTGCAGCATGCAGAAAAGCAGGAGAACTGTCTGTAGATACTTTGCTGTCACGTGCAGTTCTGCCACTTCTCCTGTGTGTGGTCACAAAAGCCAATGCATTCTGAGGTTTTAGCAATTCTCTCTTTTTAAGGTTAAGAGTCTCTTCTTCCTGAGGCAAAATTAAAATGTTAACTAGCAACATAAACCTACTAATGCCCAACAGTTGTGCAGGAATATCTTGATAAAGAAATCTACTATATAATCTGTAAACTATTGCAATATTGTTTTAAAGAGTGTACTTATCATGAGTAGAGGCAAGAAAATACAGCCAGGAGAGTGTTGTTCCCAGCTGAGTGGGAGTCAGCACGCTGTATATGAAAACTAAGATCACAGACTCACTGAATAATTTTACAGAGTTGCATGGCGAAATACCTCAATTTCTTCATTGTTACTGCAGAGTGCAAAGCTGCAAGTGTCCTTGCTGTGGTTACGTGAGAGGGGCATGTCTTCTGAGCTATCTGAAGCCGGCAAAGGCCTGCCTATAAGAAAGAGCACAGTAAAAGGGGTCATTGAAAGCATATGGAAGTTGTTGAACCACAAGTTTCCATACCTATCTCAGAAGATGTTTTACAGATGCTAGCTCTCAGATTCTTGCAACACGTTGCTGCTTACACTGATAACATTTGCTAACAGCTTGTCCATCGTCCTGAAGGTGCTTTGTCCTGGACCGAAGTGCAGATCGCATCCGCTCTCCCGCCTTCTGGGCTTCCAGGACAACAAACTCAGTGAGTAAGCAGGCAACAGCACAATCTGCTCTCCCTCTCTTGTAAAGTCCAAATTTCATAATTCTTCTGGGAATCGTAGGAGAGTTTTAGCGACAATGTATTGCCTGTGAGCCAAGATTTGGGGACCAGTGTCTCCAAGTCGTTTGGAGACAACAAAGTAGGCAGAAAGTTCCCACAAATGTCACCTTTTACATAGGAAGATGAGTGAGGTTCCTTAAAACCACCACTCAGATGCGAGACAGCTCCAGGTGATTTCCTGTCATCTGTTCTTCTCCCAGTAGGAGAGGGTTGATGTGTAACCTGAAGCGAAATGGAGAGGCTTTGGCATACAGTCGTGTTTCACTGTAACATGGGAGCTATCAGTGACACGGCCAGAGTTCACTTCCCCTTCCTAGGACTTTATTTGCCTGTGTGCTGACATGGCACAGGTGTCTAATCTTTGTTGTGGAGAAGGAGATGTCAGTGGAAGAGCTGGAAGAAGCCTCAGACAAGTCCACCCCCCTACCCCATCCCTTCTCTTGGGAGATGCATTCCAGCAGCTCCTGCTCTTGGTCCATGATGGGTCGCATCGCAGCCATGCCTGTGCCTGGCTGTGCACCTCATTGATCCAAACCCCAACCCTGACCCGCGGGCTGGCTCCCTGTCCTGACCCCCTGTCCTGTCTCATCACTATGGGCTTTGCTGACTGGGATTCTGGCCTGAGGTGGACTCCCACCCGCAGCCTGCCTTCCTCCCAGGATGGGGCAGTGGGATGGGTTCCCCATGCCCCCAGCCCCGGGGATCCACTGGCCCGTGCAATGCCCACTGCTCTGTGTATGAGATCATCTCTGAACTTTTTCCAAGGGCAAGGGCAGCAGGTTTCAAAGCATTCACTCATGCTCTGGCCTGCAGGTGCCAAATAGCTCAACGTATGAGCAGTGTCTGTGATAATTTTACACTGGATATAAGGAAGAAATTTTTTACACTAAGGGTGGTGAAGCACTGGCACAGGCTGCCCGGAGAGATGGTCAATGCCCCATCCCTGGAAACATTCCAGGCCAGGCTTGACGGGGCTCTGAGCAGCCTGGTCTGGTGGAAGATGTCCCTGCCCACTGCAGGGGGGTTGGGCTAGATGGCCTCTAAAGGTCCCTCCCAACCCAAACTAAACTATGATGCTAATTTCTGGCAAAAAACCTGCAGTACCAGGGCAAGAAGACCAAGCAGCAGCTATGTGGGGATCAGGATCCCGATCTGGCTTCTGAACAATACTGTAAAAAGGAAATAAAGGCAGCCTAAACAGACCTTGCTGCTGGACTTACTTTCTCTCGTTCAAAAGGTGTCAGTCTTCCCTGGTGAGGTGTCCTCCTGCCAGTCGGTGTGGTGCTTCTGCCAAGGGAGCCGTTGGATGCTTGCTTTTCTTGATGTTCCTGTGTCACCGATCTCAAAGGATCAGCCCTTTGCACAGAGCTTTTTATTGCCTAAAAGGTTTGAATACATTTGTATTAAGTTGACACAGACATCTTCAAATAACATTAAAAATCCTTCTACAGCAAGTGCATCATTAAGTTTTTAAAACTTTTACGAAAATGTTTATTTGTGTGTGTGGCCAGGCACACAGACACAGGCACACACACACACATATTTTATACATAATGCTCTATTCATGTCTTATTTGACTTCCACATTTCTCTCTGCTTGGACAATGATGCAAGTCGAGGGTAATCCCAGGCATAGTGCTCTCAGGCTCTCATCCCTCAGTCCCAACCACCCTGCCAAGAGCAGGAGAGATATCCCTCCCTGGGATACCACAGCTGAGCCCACCCCAGTACAATACATCACGTGACAGTTTGTTTTTACTTGCCAGTCGTCCATCCTTCTTACATTTTGCCCTCATACCTCTCCATCAGTCAAGGCTGACACAAGCCTTGTAGGACCCTAAGATAGATGTGAGCCACAGAAGGGAAATGAGATGTGAACATTTTCAAACAAACTATAGCAGATATTTAGACTGGAAAGATCACAGTTACTCAAAAGGACTTGCCCAGTTTTTCTTGGAGACCTTAGATCAGAGAACAGAGGAAACATAAAATATTCCTGCCTGACCACCCTGAGATACATGGCATCTACACAACGACTGCCAGGGATTGGCAGCTGCAAAGAAAACATTACGTTGGCATGACAGGAAAACTGAGGCTGCACTCGTGCCTTGTCAAAACTTTGAAGATACTGAACCTAGCGCAGAAATGCCTGGTAGTACGAGACAAAGGCATAGTCTGACTGCCCACATTGCTAAAGTCATCCCAGAAATGGCCAGGGATGGTGTCTGCGTCTGTCAGAACAGATAGCAGAAGAATCTCTAATGCATGGAGCAGGTGAATGACTAGGAGTGAGCACATGATGGTCAGAAACAATACATTCTTGTGATTAGAAAATACATCATGGCAAGAGTTTTAACACACTTTAACAGAAAGCCTTTTTTAGAAAAGAAGGCTTCCTGAGCTCTCTAAAAGCCAGCTTTGAAAAGGACGTTCAGAAGTTGAAGTTTACTGATGCAGTGCGATGGGTGATGCCATAGCCAAGGGACAGAGACCTGTATAGCCCTTAGAATTATAGTGAGAAGAAGATGCACATGCTTATTCTTTTTAACATAAAGAACTAGTGAGCTGATGAAGTAGGATGTATTGGACTGCAATATGAAGGAGCAAGATGAAGCCAGAGACACGGAAGAGGTGTTCCCATGAACGTGGTGAGGTTTGTTCCCTACGTATCTGAAGAATGACCACTGCAGCTGAGGGAACCTCCATGCAGGACAGTGTTAGTAAAGGTGCTCTGGCTTGCTACATGTACCATTGTAAAAGCTGCTATTTCATGTTTTATGCATCATGCAGATTACAAATTTTTAAATTATACACTAACATAACTATTTTTAAAACAATAATGTCAGAGGAATCAAGACAGGCCTAGCGAATTGCGTGTGGTCTCTGCTTTCGTACAGATGGATGTCGTTCTAAGAGATTCTTTCAGAAGTCATAGCAATGGCAGGGGGGTTGGAACCAGATGATCTTTAAGGTCCCTTCCAACCCAAACCATCCCATGATTCTATGATTCTATGATTCAATCACTGTAACCCAGGCAACCACTGCAATTTATTCCTACACTTTAAAAGAGACTGAAGTACTCAGTATTTGGGTTAATCACACATGATGAGGTTCTTGATAAAGATTCTCTCCATTCCATCAGTTTCTTAAGCAAGCTCATCAAATTATCTCAATAACTCTTTTTACTTTTCCTCGTTGGAAAGACATGGATCGCCAGTAAATGTGGAACCTTGATACAAAGGGGTTACAGGGTCAGAGGAA